GACCTGTATTTATACAGTCTAGAGACGCATGGTCCAGAGTCACACCTGACCTGTATTTATACAGTCTAGAGACGCATGGTCCAGAGTCACACCTGTCCTGTATTTATACTGTACAGAGCAGAGACGGCTACTTCACTGTCAGGTTTAGTGTGGTTGTAATTTGAGTAACACCAGCTGTTTTGAGCATATGATGTTAATATTAATATCTGACCAGGCATGAGTATGTCAATAAAGTTTGTCGTTCATCTCTGATTCTCCTCACAAGCCCACGAGATTCCCTGGAAAACAGACGGAAGTTCGGACCAGATCAGTGGAAATCTGCAGGTGTTGCTTCATGAAGGACAGTTTTGTACCAAAACAACTGAAAACCCAACGGAGAATTAAAGAGGGCTCCCTTTCTGGGATATTCTCTGTACTTGTTAACCACTAAACCAGATGGTCTCTCCAGTCTGTTTCCTGAATAATTGGTTAATTTGCCTATTTCCCATGCTGGGAATGCACTGGGATGGTAGGTCACTAAACCAGTTTCTTTCCTAAATATCTTTTTGTGTCTTCACTGTCCTGGATCTTCACTAATCCAGGCAGTCTTTTTTCCTGAATATTATGTTGGATATTCAGTTTACTGGATAGTAATTGTAATGGTTAGTCACAACACAGTCTTTGTCCTGAATACTCACTCTTATTCACTGTAATGGCCAGTCACTTACTGGTATCTTGTTGTAAAAGAATTACAATTATTCACTAACTGATATCCACTGTGAGTGGTACTGTGTGTTCATTGTAACAGATAAGCACTGTAATTATTCTCTGACTGATATACCCTGTACTGGGTATTCACTGTCATAGATAACTTTCTGTGTTGGACATTCACAGTAATGGTTTCCAAGATATTCTCTAAAATGGTAAGTCACTACACCTGTAGATGTCATTGTTTATCATTTCATTAAACATTTGCTGTACAGAATGTTCACTGCAGTGGTTGGACACTAAACCAGTCACTGCCTTCTATGAATTATTGCGTCCTCACTATGCTGGGTGTTTAGCAATGGCTGTACAAAAAACATTGGTTTATTTGGTGAATATTGTACTACATAGTTTGTGCTGGGTATTCACTGGAACGCAGTGAGTCACTAAACCAGTTGGTCTCTGTGCTGGGTGTTCACTGGAATGGTGAGTCACTAAACCAGTCGGTCTCTCTGTGTTCACTGGAATGGTGAGAGGAGTGGGGTACCAGCCAGGTGAGAGCTGGAGGAGTGGGGTACCAGACAGTTGAAGCCAAAGAACATTCCTGTGGGACACTGAACATCCTCAACCATGATCTGTGGGATCCTGAAGGAGGAAAATTCAAGAGGGAGGACAGACGACCCAACATCGGAGCTCTCTCCCAGTCGGACACCAGTAGCCCCATCGGCTCCATCTCTCCGGTCGTGTCGTCTGGACGTCGGGCTCCAGGATCTCAGGGAAGGTTCCCTCCTCCCAGCC